TAACAATATTTTTCGAATTTCTAAATTAACCGTTCGCGAGCATAGAAGTGACTTCTTATGAAATAGTAAAATTCTTATTCTTATTATTGGCAGAATTTTTGTAATAATTAAATATGTATGAATTTTTCTTGTTCTCAGAAAATATCCTCAAGGATGGACCACTGACGAAGGTCGTGATCCTCAATTAGAGTATCGCTTATCAATTTTCCACGCTACAAAAGACGATTCCGGAGTTTACACTTGCGTGACACCAGCCAGATACACTCACGCCGTAGAAATAGTAGTAAAAGGTATGCTGAATGCAATAATATTTGATTGTTTCAATGCTAATTTTGCAGCTGTTCATTGTCCTCCTGTTCCTCAAAGACGCGGACTTGTCGGAAGCTCCGAAAGCACGAAGATGAATACAAAAATCACGTTTAGCTGTGCAAACGGAAACGCCCTCATCGGTTCGTCGGAAGTGGTTTGTCTTCCATCCGGAAACTGGAGTTCGCCTTTTCCAGTTTGCGAAAGTATTAGCTATTCACGCAAGAAGGTAAGCGTTTGGATTAACATTAAAATGTTATTAACAATTTCAGGCATCGAATGCGGAGAAGTAGGACCAGTGTTACCACCACACCTACGAGTTACTGTCATTTCAAGGGAAGTCGGTGGTAGGGCGGTGTTCAGTTGTACACCAGGATTTGGACTGAGGGGTGCTCTTGAAACCACGTGTCTTTCAACAGGAGAATGGGCGACTCCTTTTCCAACATGCGAAGGTAAATTTGATAATGTTAAAGCATCAACACTATAAGGTCATCAGTTCAGTTGGATCTTAGAGTTGGACATCCACTTCCACTCTTATTTATCCTGAGCATTTACCAAACACAATAACATCCCACATCCTTTACCATTTGCTTTCATATCTTAAAAAGTGATCTACCATCACCCATCTCTCAATTCCTTTACTGGCTTCCACAGGTGTCTTTTGAACAGGACTCTGCAAACTTTCAAGATAGCTTTCTCTGCTTTAATATTTTTTCAACCTCTTCTTATTTCTAATATGCCTCCAGCTAGGCCTTCGTATTTTAAAAAGTGGTCCACCATCACGCACCTTTCCAATTTTTTGCTGGCTTCCATAGGTGTTCTTTGAACAGGAGTCGGGATAGGAGCCTTCATTTCTTATAAGGAGTCTACCACTAATCCTTCCATTTCTTCACTGGCTTCCACAGGTGTCTTTTGAACAGAACTCTGCAAACTTTCGAGATAGCTTTCTCTGCTTTAATTTTTTTCCAATCTCTTCTTATTTCTAATCTTTTCTGCTTACGGCATTTCCATGAGACGTGCTCTAAACGTAGACTTATCGTAATCTTTTTCGAATTTCAAAATTGACCGTTTGCAAACACGGAAATGATTACTTAGTTCACAATGATACAAGTCGCATCTGGTTTGTTAGAGGTGCACTGTGAGCATCCCGGGACTCCTGAAAATGGATACATTCAAGGTTCGGGACCTTTCAAAGCGGGAGACGTGGTACAGTTCAATTGCAACCCGGATTTTATGATGGACGGACAGCCAATCATTGCTTGTCAAGACAATTCGCGTTGGTCAGGTCCACTTCCAAAATGTAAGTCGATTGATAAACTTTCATCATTGGTTTATAATGTGTTATAGTTACCTAAATACTGAATGAAATAATTCGAAGTAGCCTGTATTCTGTCGAAACTGCCAGACGATCTTTTTGGATCTCATCAGCGCGTCGCAGGCAGCTCCGACAGAACACAGACCAACTNTAACTAAATCAGCTAAATTTGGGTCGCTTTGGGTAAGCGAAATCCGTGATAAATTATTTAACTTGAAACAAAGGCAGTTCATTATGTCGACTTAATTTGCATCAAAAATGAATTTTCATTCATTCATTTATTGCGTAAGGACATTCACTTAAAATTTAAAATAACCTGGAGGAAATGAACTTCCATTGATCCATTTATCGGGTAAGAACAGACACTTAAATTCATTTAAAATAACTTGGGAGAAGCAGATCTATTTTTCCATTTCTGTAACTCAACCTACACCAAAATAAACTTCCATTGATCCATTTATCGGATAACAACAGACACTTAAATTCATTCAAAATAACCTGGGAGAAGCAGATCTATTTTTCCATTTCTGTAACCTAACTTACACCAAAATAAACTTCCATTGATCCATTTATCGGGTAAGAACAGACACTTAAACTCATTCAAAATAACCTGGGAGAAGCAGATTTCTTTTTCCATTTCTTTACCCAACTTACACCAAAATGAACTTTCATTCATCCATTTATCGGGTAAGAACAAACACTTAAATTCATTCAAAATAACCTGGGAGAAGCAGATTTATTTTGTCATTCCTGTTACCCAACTTACACCAAAATAAACTTCCATTGATCCATTTATTGCATAAAGACATTAACTTAAAATTCAAAATAACCTGGAGGAAGCAGACTTCCTTTTCCATTTCTTCACCAAAATAAACTTCCATTAATTCATTTATCGCGTGAGGCCATTCAAATAATTACATTAGATTACATATTAAAAGTATGTCAAGCAACTTAAGTAAAATAGGTCATCTTGATTACAATAATTTATTGCGAGCTTCGCCTTCCTAAAATAACCCGCATATACTTCCTTCGTATGATTTTTATGACTCCCTGTAGCTCGATCCTGTGGAACACCAACAACTTTACCGCATGGTTGGCACGTAGGGGAATGCTACACGTTCGGTTGTAAAATTAATTATCATTGTGCTGATGGATATGAGTTGGTTGGGCGTCAAGAAAGAGTGTGCCAAGCAGATGGACTTTGGTTTCCCAAGGAACTACCCACCTGTGTTCGTAAGTACCTACGCGAGCCTATACCAACACCTCCACTACATCTCGATCGTCATAATAATAAGATACATATCATCATAATATAATAAAATTGTACCACACACATCCATGCAATGCAATCAAACAAGCGAAGCATTTTCAAAAGATACAAGCTTGGTATCAATTGGAGAAGATTTTTGCTATCCAAATAATTATTACTTGTAAAATAATTCGAAGTGGTCTGTATTCTGTCGAAACTGCCAGACGCGGATCGCGATTTCGATCTTTTTGGATCTCATTAGCGCGTCGCAGGCAGGACCTTGTTGGAGCATACGTAATCCTAAAATGTAGTATCGTACTAAAGATGGCGTTCATCGCGCCATTTCTGGTATTTTCTACTTAAATATTAGTTAACAAATTTTTTTGTAAATGTATTTGTACGTTCGGCTGTTTAAGTTTATAAATTTCAAATGTTTCAAAAAAATTCAATTTGAATCAAATCTGTAGGATTTTAGGATTTCTTCTTTTTGTTGTTCCCTTTAGGTGTGCAGGCTTGTTCCTACCCAGGTACAACAATCAGTGGACGTATGTCGTCCGTAAAGTTTTACTATAAAATAGGAGAAAATATTACGTTCGAGTGCGATGAAGGTTTACAACTGCGGGGAGCAGCCATGCTTAAATGTCTCAAAAATGGCAAATGGTCTAACACTATTCCTACATGCGTTCCTCCAAATTAAGATATTTCCTCTTTAAATGTTTGCAATTGCAATTTATCTACTATTATTAGAACATATCGTATTCATAATAAAATGTTGTTAGATAATTAATTTTAGGTATTAACTTGAAACTTATTGCACAAATTTTGATAGTTTACAATCATCAGGTAATAATGTTGTAAGTTAAGATAGCTTCCAAGTTTCTATGTGAATAAAGATGTTGATAATTGTGATGTTTTCTAATAAACAAGACATTAGTTTGTAACTATTAATATAATAGTTCTGCAGTTTCGTACGAAAACCATACATATAAATTTAGTCATTAAAATTTTATTTTCTAATAAAAACCACTCTTGTTAAATAAGTAAGTAAATATTTTTAGTGTAAAACAAATAAGTTTTTGAAAATCTCAGCTTTAATTACGCGCATTATAATTCTGTTGAATTTATCAATATTGTCCTTCCTAAAAATAAACTTTCAACTTATTTTTACCAGTCTATTTATTTATTTGTAAACTATAAAACTGTTTCTTTGGTGTACCTAAAACTTAAATGAAAATTTTACCGTCACCGAAAACGGATTTCAAAATTGACGGTCTAAAGGCCGTCGTGTGTTGGAATTGCTTCCCAACGTTTCGCTAGCACGAGTGGCGAGATTCTTCAGAGGTTCTTTCATCTTCGATGCTGTATATGAACACTGACGACGCGACGCCTTTACACCCGAATTAGAATAGCATCAATTCACCTACTGGTCACGAAAGCCTTATCGATTTCAAAATTCTTACGAAATGTCACAAGAATAATAAAATCTATAACCTGATATGCTCATTGTTTGTCCCACAGGATTATGAAGTGTTGAAAACCGATTGCCAAACATTAACGCTATAAAAGATAGAACATCGAACAGAATACACACAGTTACAATACTATTGTTGATTATGCGGGTGGCTAGGTGTTTTACCCGTATAATTAATGAAAATACTAATTTACAAAATAGTAAACACGTAGATATTGTATATGTAGCGTTACTTTCTAAAATAGCTTCCAACAATTAACAAAAAATTAACTCAATTTACAGCAACCATTTATCCAAATGCATAATTGAGTCTTATTCGACATGTTCCAATTTAAAGGGATTTTTGTTTAATATTAATTAATTCAATAAAGAGCATTAAGAAAATTGCAAGAAAATTTGTTTGACACAGAGGAATCTTCCTTTCCTTTAGTAATTTGCAATTCATATTATATTCTCGCTGATCGAAAACATCAGATAACAATTTCTTCATTCCTCGCGCAGTACTTGTCCATGTTTTCATTCAAATCATTTTCAACAATTGTAGCTAACCTTCATCTAACGTGTCACATGTTGCATCTATTACAATGATAATAAAAGTAGCATCTGTACCGACAGGTACCCATTGTATAATCATGTTGTGTATATTTGCTTTGCCATAAACATGGCTGCAAACTATACCTATAAGGTACGCACGTATATACACAGTTATGTTATATTTATGTTACATTTAATTGGTAGAATTATTCGACGGTAAAATTATTAGATTATTCATTTTAGTTTTGCTACTGATGAAGAAAAATTACAGTTTGTTAGCTGTTTTTTGAAACATTTCCTTGGAATTGGAAATTTCAATATCTATCATCACGTGTTAAAATTGAAACAACAAAGTAATAAGTAGTTTTATTATAAATTTAGCAAATCGTTATTACATCCTATATTATTCCTACTTATCACGTTAGCAGTTCATTAGTAGATGTAGGTAAATAATTTATTACTCAGGTAATAAATTAAATGGAATCCTTCGATTTGCAGCTAATAATTTCTTTATATTTAACACCTACTTAATCAATTTTGCTTTCTCTATAAATCACTGTCTTAACGAAACGAAGTTAAGCAATTGAAATATTAGTTAACAACTTCATTAATAATACAAAGAATCTTCTAAGCGGCTTGTGATGACCGTAGGTAGGTAAGGTGGTTGCTGCAATAACATTATTTCACTATTTGCATATATGTTAAATTTGGCAGAAAAATGCAAATCAGAAATACAAAAGGCGTATTAAAATAATTAGAAATTTTCGAAACAGTGAGAACTTGACCAACAATAATAGAAAAATAATGCTTAATTAAAGTTTATTATTTACTATATTTTAAAGGTGTATGATTGGAGCGCGGCACTGTAAGGGTGCGAAACATGGACTGTGGGCGCAACGGAAAAGAAAAGGTTAAAAGCGTTCGAACTGTGGTGTTACAGGCGAATGATGAGGATACCGTGGATAGAGAAGATCAGAAATGAAGAGGTATTATGAAGAATAGGAAAACAGAGGACTCTACGGAAGTCAATAAGAAAGAGGGGAGATAGGTTGGTAGAACACCTTCTTACGTATGAAGGTCTGTCATATTAGAGACAGAAACAGGAGTTAGAGGAATAGAGGTAGACCTAGATTAGATTACTCTTCGCAAATAGTTAAGGATGTGGGATGTTTTAGTTTTAGGGAAATGCGAAGATTAGCTCAGAATAGGAAAGAGTGGAGGTGCGTGTCCAACCAGTCTTAGGACTGACGACCTTATGATGATAATGATTTACTATATGTTACATGTTCTACATCTGAATGTGCAAATAATTTGTAATTACACGGAATTATTAATCATCCGATGCGAGGGTTCTCTAATTTGTAGTTATAATGTTAGATTATCTTCTCATTTTATCAACAAAATCAACTTTGTTAAGTAAATTTTTATCACACATAGACGTGTTAAATATTGCTTAATAGTATTTCTGAGTCACTATATCGTGAGATATATAAGTCGTTATATATATAGGTATTATCGTATATATAGCAAGTACCTTCCTATATAAGTATGTACAGATACATTTACATGTGTATTGCACTTATTTACTAAATGGTTCGTGCTTCCATGCATACAAACACATAGGTAACAAACAATGCGTCTATCCTACGCTTTTTATCTAAAACAGTATAGTACGATTTATCTTGCATCAGAGTCCAGGTGTGTGTGTGCTTCTGAAACACTCACACTTCCTTGCTAATAAGGACTACTCATTTCGAAGCGTCATTGCATCGGCGAATTTTTAAGCGCGCTTTACGTAAAAAGTTTGTAAGGTTTGCTGATGTAAGAAATTTTAACGCGCTTACTTATAAATTTATAAAACGTGAACATACTAATTGTTTATTATTAATTACCCTAATAAACCTTCAAGTTATAGTCAAATGGTAGTGACAAAAATTATAATGACAGAAGACAGTGATGGTATTTTAGTGGATACTTTAGACGATTTACCAGTCAAGAGTTTTATAAGGGTAAGTGAAAGTAATTAATCGACTTTTACACTCTAAACATATACAGAATGTCACATACAAACAGATTTATAGATCATAAGCAAAATTTAACTCCCAAATTTTTAATTCTTAAAGTGGATTTTCTAGAGAATATACAATCAGCAATGGTTACAATTGAAATAATATATTAATGAATGTCGTCCGTAAAGTTTTACTATAAAATAGGAGAAAATATTACGTTCGAGTGCGATGAAGGTTTACAACTGCGGGGAGCAGCCATGCTTAAATGTCTCAAAAATGGCAAATGGTCTAACACTATTCCTACATGCGTTCCTCCAAATTAAGATATTTCCTCTTTAAATGTTTGCAATTGCAATTTATCTACTATTATTAGAACATATCGTATTCATAATAAAATGTTGTTAGATAATTAATTTTAGGTATTAACTTGAAACTTATTGCACAAATTTTGATAGTTTACAATCATCAGGTAATAATGTTGTAAGTTAAGATAGCTTCCAAGTTTCTATGTGAATAAAGATGTTGATAATTGTGATGTTTTCTAATAAACAAGACATTAGTTTGTAACTATTAATATAATAGTACTGCAGTTTCGTACGAAAACCATACATATAAATTTAGTCATTAAAATTTTATTTTCTAATAAAAACCACTCTTGTTAAATAAGTAAGTAAATATTTTTAGTGTAAAACAAATAAGTTTTTGAAAATCTCAGCTTTAATTACGCGCATTATAATTCTGTTGAATTTATCAATATTGTCCTTCCTAAAAATAAACTTTCAACTTATTTTTACCAGTCTATTTATTTATTTGTAAACTAT